GAATCTTTTATGAAGTAACTGAAAAAAAGCGAATTTTTGAAGAATATTTTGAATTCATTGATAGTTAGCTAATTTTGAAATTACTGAAGTGAAGAATTAACATCACTATGTAAATACCAAAAATGAGCATGAAACTTCAGTCAAACGAACGCAATATGTTCCTAGAGCTTGTTTTCTTGTGGTCCATGTTGTCACTTGAGTTGTATCAATATGACGACACATAACATTGTCCCAAGCTGCTTCCCTTGTTAATCCCACATCCATTTCAATTACTGGTTTCAATTTGATGCTCTCAATGTCACGTCTTTTCTTTTTAGCTTTCAATCTATAGGATCAAAAACGATGCATTGAATAACATAAAGCAATGTAATAGTTTAGGTAATGAAATATAATTAGAAATAAATGGAACACAACGATAATTATGAAAATGAAAGTAAGCTAAAAAATTAAAAAAAGCAAACCTGGACATAATACCAGCATTTCCCAATTTTTGTCTATATGTATCACGTAATACTGATAACGCCCTTACAGAACCATCCAAACTAGATGAAAGGATACTAAAATTCATTGATTTTACAATTCTAAAAATCTAATCAATTACAAAAACACTTGTTCTGCAATAGCTACAAAATAAAAACCAAAACTGATCTTATTAAAAACATAACCAAATTTAAGGTTAATTGCGAGCTTCTGATGAAAAAGTAAGCAATTTAGAAAAAAAAATTATATGAGAAATGTAAAATAAGCTCACATTTCATTGTCGACAAATTTTATCGCGGTAACTGGTTTGTGATGCCCATCGAGCAAAACCAACTGTCTAGGCATGCCATCACCCATGTCATTAATCCAAGTTTTTAATGTGTTATCAACTCCTGCTGAAATCATCAATGGCTCCCCATTAACATAATATATACCCGTAATGGAACCACAATGTGCGTCAGGTAACTGTCCTAACAGCGAACGTTTATTCAAATCCCAGACTGCCAGTGTTCCGTTCTCTGATGCTGTAGTCATTGTCTCTTCGCCATCGGTTCTAAAATTCCAAAAATAAAAAAATCCTAAACGGAAAGTCCACAAACTGAAGCTTGAAAAAAACTATGCACTATAGCAAATGGCTTATGAATGTGGAATTTAATAATAGAAGGACGAAACAGTACTGAAGTGAACAATTCTGGGGAACCATAAGTACTCTAGCCGAAAATAAAATTCGAAAAGAAAAACCTAAATGCAATTGATGTTACTGGTGCATCCTGCATATACATTTGTAATGCTTCGTCAAATTTAATATTATGCAGTACAATCTGACCATTTCTTAATCCAACAGCGACGATATCTATGGCTGGTGACTGTTCCAGAACTGTTATTTCCGACTTGAACAATTTCCCAAATTCATGAATCAATTTTCCAGTTCTTATGTTAACAATACGTAACGTTCCTTAAAAAACGTTATTTGATTAAATCAAATTATTGTAGAAGATGTCAGGTGTACAAACATATCCCAACATGAATTTCGAATATGTAGTGTCTTTACCGAAAAATTATTTTTAAAAAAATATAAGTTGAATGAGGCAAGTATTGAATTCATTAAAGAATTAATAAATGTAAATTGACTGAAACAAGTACTGAATTCACTAAAGAGAATTCAAACCGACCCTGCCTAGATCCCAACAACACTTTGTTAAGATAAGTAGCTGGATGGGCAACTGCTGAACAGTCGAACTGTCCGGATGTTTCAATCAGCACCAATTCGTCACCAGTATCAACATCCATTACATGGATCGAGTTTTTCACGTCCACAACTACAAGAATGTCACCAAACGGAAGAAGCCAACGTACATTATCAGATGTCTCTAACCATCGCTTAACTTGCCTGAAATGAAATCCTACTTATTCAGAAATTCAAATATGCAAATGAGACTTTGAAAAACAGAAGAAGGAAATATGTTTGTATATAATTCCCTTTCAAAAAATGAATATTTCAATGACGCCTAACTTCTGTAGCACTTTGCACTCACATTGAAACCAGTTCAATGAATAAAACAGTGCAATGAAACTTGAGATCAAATACCTGGCTAAATACAAAATCGCTATTCTTGTACCAATGGCAGCATAAATATAATGAGAGTCGGCAGCAACTACGTTGATTCGAGCCGGTAGGACATTACTCACGGATATTATACGCAAATTTTCGCACAAGTACTGTATCACAACATTTTCGACAGCACAAATGACGTAACTTTCGTTCCGTTTCCTTGGAAGTACCCGAAAAGCAGGTGGAACCGATGAACAAACTTCACCGAGTGCTTTGTATGGTATAAATAAGCGGCTCTGTTGACGTTCCATTCAAAAAACCTGCAGTCAAAACATCGGAAGCAGATAATGACCCTATTCCTTCCTATCAGGGAAAAAGCACAAGCACGTTTTCACATCATTTAGATAATAAGACATAGGGATGAGTTTTGTTAAAGGAAGAGATTAGTTAATAACTCAGTCACACAAATTCTTAGATGTGACAATGAGAAACATCCCGGGAGGAAACAGGCGCAATCAGGATTCTTCCTGTAAGCTCTTTCCATAAGAGATGCACAAAATTTTGAATCCCCAAAAGGCTCACTGAGAATATTCAAATCCCATCGTCCAATAAGCACGCTCACATTTGAAAGAAACCAACATTGAATTGATACCTTCGACGTGGTTCGCTGGCAGTGGCACTAAGTTACTACGATATTAGTGAATCACAATGATGGAGGATGGTATAAAATGAGAATCCTATCTTTATGGAAAGGTCGTTGATGGTAAAAGAAAGGTGGACGCATCAGTGTTGTGTTTAAAGAAGGTTGTTAAAACGAAATAGTTTCTTGATAAAAAGAATTCTAATTCATTCCCAGCTTCCTTTTTTTCTCAAAATTGTCTAGTGCCAAGATATCGTTGACTCCCTAATGGCTTAGTCTAAGTTTTCAAGAACAAACATTTCTATCTTAATCACAGTATTTGATATTCAAATTTGGCTTTTGTGTGAATGGTTGTGATACCCGAACTTGCTTTATGTGTAAATTATTGTGGATTATGTAAACCTTATGTCGCACCTTGCTCTTGCCATATGGCTGATGAGAATTTTATTCCTCACTAATTCCGACAGAAAGTAGAAAATCGTTGGTTCAATCTATCATATGTACTATATAGGATTATGGTAAAATTTATAGATTGGCAACATTAGGAATTCCAGAACGAGATCGAGTTTTTATTTCGAAAGAAATTCTCATACAAGTAAGAATGTTCGTAGAAGTACTCCGTTAAAGTACTCAACTCTGTTTGCGGGAATTAGTTATCCAAACTGGCTAAATTAGCAGTGGCAGTCACTTGAAAACAAACATCTCAGAACATTCTGACCAAAGAACTGCCTGAAAAAACATCAAAGATAATGATAAATACTCGTCGTCCTTTGTTTGAAATTTACTACTCCAAAATATGTCGTCCTTTGTTTAAAATTTACCACGCCAAAAAAAACGAATTGATTATTAATAGAATTTATATTATTTTCATTCAGATATTCGCTGTTTCGGGCTTTTGGTACGTGCGAGTCTTATTTTATTCCTAATTAGACAAATTGCCTATTTTTTTCCTCAAAGATGTCAAAATCGCTATATATAAAGTCGTTGATAGATGAGATTCGGTTAAATTACATGGTTTTTCAATGTTTGGTGCTATCAAAAAAGGCTTAAAAGAAATTAATAATGCGTAGGATCGTGGTAAGACGAAAGATGATGGACCATTCAAGGTGTTTCAATATTAGTGTTTCCACAAACTATGAATTCTTTATAGATTTTTCATTTAGGCGATGGAACAGATGATTCTATGCAGTGGCATCGACTTGTTTGACTAATCGTTGTGCTGTGGATATAGTCTTCGTTGATATACATATTAATAGTTATGATTGATGTTATGAAAGTTATGATTGATGGTCCAGGTAATGAGAAGCTTTAAGTACAAGCAGTTGCGAGTATAACAAAAAGATCAGTTGAAATCTATACTGCTTATAAATTTATAGCATCCTTTCCATAAACATTTTCAAAGTGCAATCTGAATTGTTTCAGTGTTTTGTTAAGTTAGATGTTTTAAATGATTTATTGACAAAAATTACTTTTAATTATTGTTGCGGATTGTTTCATGGTCAGCTATAAAATTCCAAAATTTGTGGTGTAAATCATAAGTGTATACCTATCTTTTAGAGCTAATTTCTTTGGAATGGTGGAAAGGTTAATATTTAGAGTATTTATTGAGTTAAATTCTTAGTTTAAATATTTAGTCGGTCTAAAAAATTTGGAATTTCAAGATTTTTATCATTAATGATTAATGGAAATAGGGTGTCAAGGTTTGTTATGTTCTTACTAAATTATAGTTGTAGCTATGTGTTGATCTAATGTACTTTCGTTTTTTACTTTTTTTTTTTAAAATTATGTTAGTTTACTGTTTTAGTGTAATTTTTATTTATTGTTCGTTTTGTTAATTCCTTTTTAGTCAATTTTTAATTTATATTTTAACGATTTCTTTTGTTTTGCTGTTTTTGTTTCCTTTTTTATTAATTTCGTTTCTAAAGTAGATTTGTTTTGGTTGTTTATTAAAAACTTAGGTTTTTTCTAAAAGTTCTATTCTATTGTACGATTTTTAAATGGCAGTGTTAGCGTTATAGCATCAAAATGTGACTTAAAGTTTTTTTTTTTTCTCTTAAATTTCAGGTATTAATGGAGTTTTTAGCAATTTTTTTTGTTTATATTCAAATCTGGGCGTACTTTAAGACAAAAATAAATCCGTACCTCTTTCTTGTAGGCGATATATTTTAAGACCGCCCAAAATTTAATTGAGATTTTACGGTGGATGAAATGATCGTACGCGATGCTGTGATTCGCGAATTGTTCTATGATATTTGTTGTAGATGCAATTTAGGCAGAATATGATAAATGAACAAAGAAGAGAAGAAACAAACAGACAGCATAATGAATTCAGTATGAAAATTCAGAACAGTTTGTGTAGAGCGATGATGGGTGAATACAATTCCATGAGACGGCACAGAATGACGACAATTTCAGAAGGAGTGGTGGCTGATAGTAGATAGTGAACGGTTTGAGGTGCTGCACAGCTCGATATGGCGGAACTTGTCTCACCATCATCACTCTTTCCAATTGATCGATTGATTCCCATCTGTTTGCAAGTAATTGCAAGTTTTCGTTTCGTCCTTGACAAATAATAAAACTCACTGAAACTAGGAGTGCAAACTGTTGTACGTCCCTCGTCAGATCGTGGACTGGTGTTGACAGATAGATCGCAGGTAGTATTGACAGACAGTAACTGCACATTAGTATCATTTCATCACTTCTCATCTTTCACTCTTCTATTCATATTTTTTGTGTGCATACTTAAGTGTTTTCTGATGATATCGGATTTGAGAATGAGGAGAGATTTCCCCCGTACTTCTGAAGGCCTATGCCTTTTTTTCATCCAGCTTAAAGATTCCATTACCTGCATTAACCTTAAAAAATCAAGTTCCGAGAACTTGACTTTCCTGTGTAAATGATTCATCATAAGTCGAAATTGAGAGAAATGAATAACCTAAAGCATGCGGTCGTCAGTCTTATATGTAAGCAATTTTGTTGTCAAGCAGCGATGTTGGACTTAGACTGATTCTACAAATTCCGTATTTAAAACATTATTTACTAAAATTCGAGAGATTCGAAACTTATAGCTCTCCCTTTGAGCATTGTACAAGAAGTAGTATAGGTCGTTCGAAGTCAAGCTACACCGCCATTTATCTTGCAGCGGATATGTGATTTTTGTATGAAACATTTGTCGATGCGTCGGTACGATGAGATAGTAACGGCTCAAATTGAATGACTGAAACCATATAAAGGCTTAAAAATTAATATTAAAACTTCAAACAAGTGCCAATTTGACCGGTAGACAATTGCGCTTAAGACGCTTAAATGACTACAAAATGAGCCAGAATTAAATTGATGTGTTCCACAACCGAATAATAAAAAGACTGTCTTAGTGGATTTATTTCAACGGCCCACGCAAATTCATGTTCGTGCAGCATAAATTGTTTGTTAACGTGCTTGCTTAAAAAAATAAATATTACAGGAATGAAGCATTCGGCATTTCTTCCTCATCGGCATCCGTAATTATATTTAGAATTTTAGAAACTTGCTCAATTGTTACTCGCGCGTGTATTTGGTTCCCTGATGGTACTAAACAGGAAGTTTCAGGTTGTTGGACTTGTAAGCACGATGATCGGCGTAATAGCACCTTATTTGTCGAAATTCCATCGAAATTACCAGTCAAATGATATCATTGATCGACTGAATTATCAGTATACGGCACTGATCATTGCACTTACTGCCTTTACCCTTGCTGCAACGCAATATGTTGGTAAGCCAATTCAGGTGAGTCTGTGTTTTATTCATTTTTATTATTTCTATCCTATTTGATTTGTTACTTTTATCCTGAAAATATTTAACAAAAAATATTTCTGTTAAAATATTTTAGCATAGTTCAGATATCGGCATACATACGGGCCGAACACACGATTTTGAGACTTTCAAAAAATTTTAAACTCATCAGAAATAAAGTGATTCGAAAAATGCTTGGCCGCCATAAAATGACTAGAATTCAGGTTGAAAAAGAAATATTTCAGTGTTGGGTGCCTGCACAGTTCACTGGAGCATGGGAAAAGTAAGTGAATGTCAGTAATATCTTTGCCTTTGTTTTTTTTAGTGGTGGCTAACTTGCCGAAAATCTGGCATCTTTTTTTCAGGGCTTGAAATTGTGCTTAATATTATCTATTATTTTGTAAAAGGAGTAAGGAAAATTTTCTGAAAAGAAAAAAAATACGCCATACTAATTTGTCCCAACATCTGATGTCCATCGATCAAAAAGCTATTTTAGTTCAACCCTAGTTTTCTAAATGTTACAATGGAAATGTTGTTACAAGTTTTAAGGGGTAACCAAATAATAATGCTTTCTATTCAGTACCCCCTCCCTTCTCCCTCCCGCTCCCAATACTGTTTTCTTTTAGATACACGGAAACTTATTGCTTTATCAAAGGAAGTTATTATATGCCTTTGGAGAGTGAAATACCACACGAATATTCGCAGAGAGATGAATCGGTTTATTTTCAAATTTCACCATACATACATTATACTGCACATATTTATCGAATAACAGAGTTGAAATTTCTGTTTTATAACCTTTCATGTTGTCGTGAATCATATTTCATGATAATAACCGTTATCGTTAAAATGAATGGTTAGCTATGCCGTCGAATGTCTTCCTCCCATTTTAGTGATACCTTATTTTATAAAAAATGTTCTTCTTCTAGCTTGAAAGCATAGAATTTCTTATTTCAACAAGTTAGGCAGTTTGTTCCTCTGAACAGTTATAAGTCAGAAGAAATAGCTTCTGTCCCATAAGAAATTAAAAATTGATAATTAAATATATATATGCTGATGTGGTATCAGGTTATTGGATACTACCAATGGGTACCAATCGTTTTGGCACTGCAAGCATTTTTGTTTTATTTTCCGTCCATTGTTTGGCGAACAATGAATTCTCATACAGGTCGACCAGTCCTTGTTTTCTATTCTTCCAATTCTTTACTTTCAAGAAATTTTCAAACTTTTTAGTAGCTTGACTTAATGTTAATAAGGATTCATTGAATTTTTGGATTTTATGTTTGTATGGTCATTATTGTAGGTGTTAATGTGAAAGGAATTCTTAATTCAGCGGCTATGGTGAAAAAAAAATTCGACAAAAGTTCCCGCCTTGCACAAGTGCACATCGCAGCAGATCATTTGCGCGATGCGTTGGATATGCAGAGAGAGCTCCGAACTGGTCCTTCCTTCTTTAATTTTTTGTGAATGTTTGATGCTCGAAGAATTATCTGCTTTAACTGTTTTGATTCAGTTCGAAATCACAGTTTAAAGCCGCAGTTCAGACTATTTATTGAGCATAAAACATAGCATTAAAATTATTTTCTCTAAAACTGTACTAATCATTTAACGAAAATTTTTCAATTTTTGAGGATCGTTTGATTGCTTTCATCTTGGCAAACGAAGTGGAGTCTATCTGATTGTCTTATACCTTTTTACCAAAGTGCGTAATTTCACATCTGTTTGGTAAACGTATTATTTTCATAAAAAAGTGGACTTTTGAAAATGAATATGATTGTATTGTTGTTATCTTATACTTACCTCATGTGAAATTACTTTTTTCCTCAGTATTTTTCAGTACTTTCATATTGACAATCAAAATTTCCGTATTTCAGTAGAATATAGAGTTCTTGTTTCCTAGAACACGTAGTACAATCCATATTTTCATGTTTCAATTTTCATAATCACAGTTGCTGTATGTGATCAATGTGATTCTACAATTCGTCATTCTAAATGCATTTCTGGGACCGCAATATACTCTGTGGGGCGCGGGTATTCTTTCTGATATATGGCGCGGTAAGGAATGGAGTGAATCCGGTCATTTCCCTCGAGTCACAATGTGCGACTTTCATGTCGGTTATTCATTTTCTGTTAATTCATTTCACTCTGAATGCATATGATAAATTCTTTTCCTTTTTTTTAAAGTAGTTTTTTGAACTCATTTTATGAAAAAAAAACGAAGTTATGATGAAAAAAATGAGTATAAGATCTTTGGTGTATTTCTGAAGTAAAAATTACAAATTCAGATCCGTGTGCTGGGCAATATTCATCGTTGGACAGTGCAATGTGTCTTGATGATTAATATGTTCAACGAAAAAGTGTACATTTTCTTATGGTAAACAAATTATGTTCTTTTCCCCAATCGTCTTGTAAAGTTAATGATCGCTGTTCTCCAGATAGTATAGTCCATTGCTATTCTTATTAGAATTATTGACAGGTGGTGGTTTGTTCTGGTTGGAACTTTGTCAGTGTTATCGTTGTTGTATTACGTCTTTGCACTGATGCTTGGATCGAATCAGCGGCAATTTGTAACACGTTATCTGCGGTGTGCCGGTGCTATTTCGGATTTCAGAGATGCGAAAACAGAGAAATATCTCCATGATTTTGTCAGAAGATTTCTGCGGCCCGATGGTATCTTCATTTTGCGACTTATCGAGGTTTCATATCAGTTTAACAGTATGCACTTTTCACAGTATGGTCATATCACTGTTGCTAGTGCGTAGCCAACTTATTGCTATTAAATTATACTGATCAGGGAGAAAAAACTTGTCATTCAAGCTGGTGCGATATACTGAAAAAGATAGGCAGGAGCTTAAGGTTCGCAGCTGTTCGTCAATATCCTGATGGTATGTCTTTCGTTACAGACAAATGGCGGCGATTTACTGGTTAGTGAAATTATTAACGTAATGTTCGGCCACTACAGAGCTCGTATGGAGGAGCAATCTGAAACGATGGCTGTGACTGACAGAGCACATTTGAATGGCAATGACAATTTATTGGAACGATGAATCCCTCATTTCAAGCACTTAGTTTTCTAATTCTTCGGAAGTGGATATTGTGAAACTGTCATGTGATCAGTTAGAAAAAGAAGTTTGTAAGAAATTGAAATATAAGGATGTAAGTAAAAGGAATGCTGAACGTAATTAGTGAAAGAATTTTTTGACTAGTTGCCTAAAACTTCGCACTATTTTTGGAAAAAATATAAAAAAATATATTCAACGTTATTTTGTTTCGCGATATAACGGCCATTTGATGAATTCTCATCTTCTCGACAATTTTTTTGCAAATTAATCTTTATAAACAAAAGGAGTAAATCTAGAACCATTCAAGTGTTACACATGACTTCTTTGTATGTTGAGAGTGCCGTGAAGAGTAGTCTTTTTAAATCGAAAATAGTGATATTAAGCATCCTCATGCTATTATTTTTGAAGATAGTTCATAAAGAAACGTCCCTATGTAATTCATAAGCTATGTCTTTATGTCATGTTTTTAAATACTCTATCAGAAATATTATAGACTTCATAATTTAACTTAGAAGATATGAGAAAAGTCCGAAGTACTTGGATTTTGCAATATCTTCAAGTTAGAAAATTTTGCCTGAAATCTTACAAATTTGTCTTGAAGTAAAAGATATATTTTTTTACTACATACCATACGGTAGACATGAGGACATTTTTACAATATTGCCTTTTTTTTGTTTTAAAATCTTCGAAAGTGGGATTTCTTGGTCTCATTAAGATAATTTCGTGAACTTTTAAGAATTAAAAAAAAAAATTATGAGTCAGGAATGTAAGTTACAGGTCGCTATGTAGGTCATTCTAGTATGAGAGAGATAAATTTCGGAGATAAATTCTTGCAAGGCAATAAAATTGAAGAGGTAGTAAGATACTGAAAGCAGATTCGATTAGGAACATGATAAATATCAAATGAATAAGGACGGCTAGGGTGCGATTAGTATGGAAGTTTCCTAGGATCTGCAAATCGCTACAGAGAGTGCTGGAAATTTCCTGTTTATCCAGTATTGAAGAGAACATTGAAAATTACAACAAATGTGCGAATTACGCAGTTAATAAAGATCGAGTCAGAGCCACTTATACAAATTGCTATAACCAATCACCTTTACGTATATCTAGCACTTTACATACCTCCGAATTATAACCGCTATATATCCATTGTGCAATTCTCGGTGGTTGTACATTGCAGGAGCTTCCTCTGCTGATGGGTTATTCAGAAAGTTTTATAAGCATTGTCCTATTATAAATTCTATGGGAGAACAAGCAGATGGTAATATTATGTATTGAACAAAAAGAGGACAAAACTTCTCAGTTTCCGTTCATAATTGAATTGCACTGATATTACACGAGTTTATATTATTTCCCATCTCCTACCACAAAATGGGGTTAAACTAGTGGAATTATTTGCACAAAAGCATATTGGAAAGGTAAACATCAAAGGATTATAACAGTTTTTCGGTTTCCTAAGGCCTACATCATCTATAATTTTCAGTATAGGTAGAAAAAATTTACTAGAGATTAGGGAAAATTCCTGTATGTTGTTGTTAGCTTATTTTTCGCCTTTCACTTCATTTTGAAAGTGCATTCTAATCTAGTTCGGAAAAAGTAAGCTATACGAGATACAACAGTTCGTTGATTCGTTTGCACGAATTATTCAAATTTTCAATACATACATATACTCTGCTTGTATTACTGCGCTTTCAGCTTCTAACCCATCCTTTTTATATACCTCCTATTTGTTTATGGACGAATACATCATTAAACCTTAGTACTTCAGAATACTGAAAGTGTTCAAACTGCTGTTGTGAGGAAATTAACATGTTTCATATAAAACAAAGAAAACATCTCCAAATAATTGGGAGTGGAAAAGATTTAATGATCCGTTTTTCCAAAAAAAAAAACATCGACTGCTTAGTCAGAAACCAAATTCAAGAATGCATTGAACAAAACCTCATTGTCATAGATTAAGCCAAAAAAGTTTAGCGAAGTCACAATCATCGTTTTGCTGATGACAGTAGTACTCCTTCTCCATATTTCCACATTAATCTCAATATTTCAGTATCGTCGTCCTCAGTCTCTTCGTAAACTGTGATGTAATTTAAAAGTAGAAGGCACCACAGCAATTCCTATCTGATTAAGTTTACACCACGCGTACAGCGCTCATTCATTGTCATATTTTGTGGACCGAAATATCTTCAAAGATAAGAAAGGCACTTGCAAAGTGGTACTTGTATGAGTGAACTAAATATGTATTTGGATTTTTCGCTATACCTATCGATGCATACTTTCATTTGATAATTTGATAATAAAAACTTGAATAATACCTTTTATATGTGTGCATAGCGAAAATAAACAAAAAACATGAAGAGGCAAAAAAATGACGAATAGTTAACACAGAAAAAGAAAAGCCATAACTTATGAAGCAATGACAAACGATAGTTTTAGAACAATTCATAACTATAAAGCGGGGAAATATCTGACATTATCAACCTCAACTTTTAAAACTGTGAGAAAATGCTCTTTAAGTTTCATCATTCAAACGCAGATTCTTTCCAAAAAATTTAAAATGTTACGTATAATAGTCCTTTAAAGCTTATTCTCATCACTTCAATTCTTCAGCAATTTTTATTTTAGATAAATTGTGATTTCTTAATTAAAAATAGCTGAAAGGTTTCTATTCCCAATCTTCTATATAATACTTATTCTACTTTGAAATGAAAACAAAATTTCCGTCATCACGAACAGCTTCCAACAATCTAACTGGTGAAATAGCAAAAATGACTGCTAAATCTTCCAAAGAGCGAGTACCATCGCATAATTTAGCTATCCTGTAAGTAAATTTAACATGAAAATAATATTCAGTAATATAACTTGTTTCTAAAAGTTATACTCTCCCTTACATATAAACAGTAAATTAAATAAAAGTAAATGTGAGATTCTGCTTTATAATCTAGACCTTTTCTTAAAGTTTAGAATCAGTGCAGTCGATCAGACAATGAATTTATAAAGAATTAAGAATTAAATAGATGAGCGGATCCACGTGTCCATCAAAAAAAACGAAAATCGAATAACGATAAATTTAGTTGGAAATATTTCCACCTTTTCAATAAAAAAAAAACATGAAACAGGTAAATTTACCTTCGCATATCGCACTTCTTCAAAGACACAGGATAAATGCACAGCTTTCGAACAAATCCGTGGCATATACCAAATTGTATCGCACGTCTTTCATCAACATTGTACTGCCTAGGAGACATCCTTTCACACCAATCTTTCATTGTCATACCTGTCTGAAAACGAGTTTAAATAAAATGAAAATGATCCAGATAAATTATCACGCAACATTACGGAAATGTGAATTATAACTTGTAATTCTAATTTAGAAAGTTATTATTGAAATAGCTCCGACAAACATACTTTCAAACTAGCATATAATCGGAATACATCAGGAAATAGTGGTTTTCGACCTGAACGTTCACCTCCATCATTTACTGGCCGTATAAAATCCAAACATTCATGAAATGATTAGTAAGCAAATGAATTTAATGTAAGTTGAGATAATTTGAAAATGAAACTTTGCCCAACAAGAAGGTTTAGAAAATGTTGAGAACTTACTTCCTTTGTATATCTACTGAGGACAAGCAAAATCACTCTCCAATTATCATTAAATGAAAATGGATGATCGCAAAAGGGAAAGGTGTAATTATTGCGATGGAAATCTCATTTATGAAAAAAGAAAAAACAAAGTTCCCTGATTTAACTAGTAAAATTACGTAACTCTTGTTGATTTTTGATTACAGAAGCAATATATTCGAAAAAACAAAATACTGAGTACTAACTTTGATAAGATCGGTATTCATATAAAAATCATGTAGCTGTTCGGTGGCAACGTATGTGTTAGCATACATAAAGAGAGGTATTAATGTTAAACAACCATAGAAATGCAAATTACGAACACATCGCATTACTAGATCAGTATCTATTTGTACTAACATGGCAATTTCTTTAATGCAACATACACCGTCCACTTTAGGACAAATCTGAAATCAATGACGAGCTTTCCTTTAAATTCAACTCAATATTTTTCTAATAAATTTTAACACAACATATTCATCGATTCCACCTATTATTTTCAGAGTCATTTACTATACTTCCATCGTATAGCTGGAATAACTCCAGCTAATAAAATGCTTTAATAATGTCGTACAAAAGTGCGCATCATTTTAAATTTGGCAACATCCTATAGGGTTTTCGCTTTTTTCTTATAATGTATGTTGATATGAAATGGATTTCAGACACAAAAGTAAGTATCATGTTGCAATATATAAAATGAAAAGTCCAACAGCAATCGAAAATAGTACATATTAGCTTGTTTTAAAAAAGTTACTTCTAAAGAAGTGTTGTTACGTGTAACGGCGATATAACTTGTATTGCAAGCTCAACGACTAAAAGTCCTTCAAAAATATAAAAATTAAATGACATGCATCATAGACTAAAAAAACCTTCTGTGATAGAACATCCATTTTTGAGATATGATTTGGTGTATTTGGCGGTGGTATTTGTGTAAACATCGGCACCATGTATGGCTCTACCTGAGAATAATGATTGTTGTACAGAGTTTTGTACAATTTGCTAAATGTCACAACAATCGCTTATATTCGAAAATCAACCGGTTTAATCGAAGTTTACGCTAACCTAAGCTTTAGCAATCAAAAAAAAAAAATGTCTACACTAAGATTCTGCATTTGGAGGTAACTCGAACAACCCACCTTAGGTGGCTCAATACCATGAAACGAAGGACACAATTTTAAGTATATAGTTGTTTGATCAGTAACAGGGATTTTGCATTCACCTGGAAAAAAAAATCCTGCGATTCGAAGTAACTGATTCATCAACGTAGCACCACACAATACTTTATAATTTTTCATGATGAAATTGATAATCACTACATATTCTTTTCTAGTTCGCTGCTTATCTATGGTAACACAGTGTTATGTAAATACAAATTCGAATTTTGTTGTGTGAAAACATGTAAGAACACTACATTTATCTGAACACATATGCATAGCATAAATAAGCTAGTGTTTGAGAGAGTAGAATGATTTAAGGAGGCAAATCAAATTCAGTATTTAATACTGCGTAAAATATTTTGATTCTTCAATCTACGAACAAAAATGGTTTGTTGTTACAAATCAAAACTCCTCCTTATGAATAATTAATTGCAGTTATGTGCAAGTGATTATACTTAAAAGTATGCATAGCTGAAAATTCTCCTTTTTGGAAATCAAATGTTTTTGCCCTAATAAGGCAAGAACAACAAGTTGTATCTCATCGAAAAAATATATTATCAACAACAAGCATACTTGTTGTGTCTCTAACACAAAGTTTTCAAAGAAAGAAAACAATAATGGCAACAGTAATTCAAATCTTATCTTAATAATATATTTTTATGCCATATTTTTAATATAATACAAAAATTTCTTTCCTAAAATCACTGAGTTATATTTTCTTCAAAAACATTATATATCGTTATGACATTAGTTTCATTCCATCAGGACTTTCATTTTGTATAAAAGATTTTAATCTATTAAACATCAAAGCGAAACTCCCAAAATACAGTAGATTGTAATATCAAAATATTTCCGAGATTTACTGATTAAAATTATTAGTGTCTAAGAAAATATGCTGTGATGCGTAAAAATTCAGACCTTACATCCCTAACACAACAATCAGTTCAAATACAAACATTGAAACTAAAATTCAGAGCTACAGTTAAAAAATTAAAGCTAAATTTAAATAAAATTTAAAATTAAAACTAAGCTATATTAAAGTCCATTTCTGCTCAAGAAGTATGCATCGAAATTTCCGTACCATGCTCGTTAAGGCCTTTGAATATTTCCAGCAATAAATCAGGCAATTTACTCTGCGATTGTGACAAAAACCGCGTATCCTAAATATCTTCAGTTGTATTTCGGCTTACCTGTCAAAAATTTTCAATTTAGTCACCTCACTACTTTAAAAGTCCTTCACCTTCTCCATTTGCGTTAAATAAGCCGCACATTTCTGAACCATCGGTTCGTACATGCAATCAATCTGACTGTTCTTATCAACCACAAAACAGACGTTGAATATATAGCGACCGCGAGCATATGAATCAGACTCTGGAATCTTTTAATATTTGCAAAGATATGTGGCACTATTCTGTTTTCTGCTAAACGATAACAACTGAAATAGCCCACACTATTTCTAAAACATAATATCACATTAGTGATGCCCAAAATTTCATATCCTTAATCACTGTAGAAAAAAAGACCGTGAAAAGGAAAAAAATAAAAAAAAAAAAAAGATTGGCCAACATATACAGTTCACTCATTTACTCTCTGAAGGAAAAGTTTTTCGAGCAAAAGAAAAGAGGCACGAGCATTCTAATTTTCCTGAAACTTAATGCTACAAGAATAATTGTTTTCTAACAATATTAAATGGTACTGGGAAATAGTTATTAGCTATCAAGATCATTCTAAGAATATATTAGTTTTTTAGGATACGGATATCACTGGTCATGAATTTCTGCAGTTTTGTTTTTTTTCTTCTTTTCCAATTATCCAACAGAAACTGTGATGTGTAGTCTTATATCTCGAATTACTTCTAACAGTTTTTAAGATTCATGATGTGCTCGTCAATAGTGCAGCACAACATTTACAAAGTGTGCCTGAGGAAAATTACTTCACTTTCTAAAAGTTATTTTTTTGAAAACTTTGCATTTTAAAACAGCTCTTATATATTCCAAAATCGAATCGAAAACGCAAAAATTACTTAGGAAAGTCACTTGTAGCGAAAATAATAATCATTCTGATGTCGAATTTTATAAACTAATTTAAATTTTTTTGTTTTCAGAAGATTTGATCAAAATTTTGTTACTAGTAAGCGTGAACAGGTTTCTACCAAACAAAAAAGATTTTAAAAGGAAAAAAAATTTAGTAGCTCATTCAAGTTTTCTCGTAACATAGCAGTAGAACTAACCGATACCAACAGGATGCCCTATCACTTTGTATACTTTTCCATCACTGTTTTCAACGTGGTTCACTTTGATTAGCCGATGAAACAGTTCCGGTTTAGGGATTACAGCATTTGAAAATGTATCAAATCTTTTTGCATCGAAGAGAAAATCGGGTATCTATAGAACTGATCATTACTTTACCATTAAACAGTTTTTAGCAGTCTTTTGATAAATGTGACATAAAATGAGATCATTATCATTTATCATCGTGAGGGATCAAGCTAGATATTTTAGCAAAAACGCAAAAGAAATAAATGAAGTTTTCACTAACTTGTATTCTAATTACTGGCCCTTTGTCTGCATCGAATTCGGCAAAAATGATAGCTTTCAATTTTGGGACATTTATCAGCTGAGAAAGGTAAGTACTTGTTGCAGCATACATAAATAAACAGAATTTTCATATAACCTAGAAGTTAAATTTCTCAACTTCTCACGCATATGTTTTATTATACGTGACAAATTTGAAAATTTTTAAACACCTAAATTGCCAGTGCTTACTGTTCTCTATGAAACTGAAACGTTCTAGTATTAAATAATTATTAAGTCGCAAAATGTCTTGTAAATCGAAGCTTAGGAATCGAAAACAACCAACACAAACTGCGAAGTCATACAAATTTTTCCAATTTTCGCTGCTTTTCCAAATAGGAAAAAAGAATTTTATAACTACTGGTCAAACATCCAAGAATACCACCAACCACTGCACCGAAAACACACGGAATTGGCCAACGCTGAAGGAGACTTAAGACGTAAAATATTGCTTAAAAATTAGAAACACAACTATGACATTTATCATTTAATAGGTTGGTTACTGAAAAACAGCTTACAATAAGGAAATGATTAAACAGTCTTGGTAAACATCTCTTGTAAATCGAATAGAAATATATTTTTAAAAAAAATTTGCAATTACCTGCCACCAGCGATCCCAGTCAAAAGGAATAACAAATGCACCGAACCACGCACCAAACAGACCACCCAGTGACAATTGACGAGCAAGCAAACACTTATCTGATAACTGTCTAAATTTGCTTGAGCGTAACGCACTGTGATTATTATCATTGCATAATAAGTGTTAATTTCATATAAAAATTCAATATTTTCTATCCAATGAATTTATACAGTACCCAATGCATTAATTACAACAAACATAAAATACATATAAAACTGAGAAATTAGCGAGAAGTTACAAATATAAATATCAAGAAGCTATATTTCCTTCTTCCAACAGTGTCTCACTTCTCTTCACAGAGTTTATATTCTAAGAAAAGGTGATAACCGTGTTTTCCTTTTTTTTCTTCCTCTTGATTTAATTTTAAAGCGTACTCATAGTTTCAGACAAAGATTTATGACTCAAATTTACTACTACAGTTATGTGAATGAATAAAAGGGAAACCTCTTTCCAAATAAAATATTATCCAAACTGTCGAAGTTTTCAGCAACTAACAACAATGGGAATATACTCACTATTGCAAGCACTATCGAAAAGACGAAATTTGCTCCAAAATGGCTGAAATCATTGACGTGATGCGACTATGATACAAGCGGTATATCCGTAAGTTCTGTGTAGTGGAAACTGCACACTCTTGTAGGTTTTAGAAAGAAGGAAGCAAAAATTAATCAACCTTAAAAGTGGGGCTCCCAAGAGAATTGCTGTAACATAGATGACAGTCACACCTAATGCGGTATAACTGATAGCTCGACTTAATTTCATATAATAATAACCACTGAGTTTCTGGTTACGTGAATGTTGTTCGATTATTACTACACATACTGCATAAAAATCCAATAGAAAGTAATAACATCAACAATTCGTTAGATCCAATCAATGCTGAACAGTAAAAAGTTTAAAAAAAGATTACAGGTAGGGAAAAAAGACTGACAGATGATCCTCAAAAAGTGCACCATTCTCCAACACTCTTCCAAGAAATGACCACGTTGAATATCAGTCCTGATAAGAAAACAAAGCCCTGAAAGGATAAAGAGGAAACCGCCCGAGACTAATCCACTCGTCAATAAACAAATTCGGTCCCTTGCTATAAACAAGCCCACTGTGAACAAATCTGGTCTCGGCACAGCGTTGCTCGCGTTGGGCAACAATGTTAATTTTGATTGAATCGTTACGAAAGTTGTAGTCCCTCTCTTTGATCAACATGTAGATGGTTAGGATGGAGTGAAGTAATTTTGGTGTTAACTTTCCAGGTCTGTATTTAGAGTCTGTAACTAAGTTTATCAAATTTTCGTCTGTTCTTTTATTGATAGTTGGCTCGGAAAGGAAAGGAAATAACTTTTCTATCTCATTATGATATTTCTTCCTTGGAAATAAATTTTGGTTTTAAATTTCTACTTTTTTGAGGATTTCTTTAGTGCATCTTAGATAAAGCATTAAATAAAAAAGCATCCGAAATTCTAACATGAATGAGAATGAATTCTTGTAACAACTTTTAGCAGTAATTCGAGAAAAAACGTATGACAAACAACAAGCTTTATAAAAATTTATGAAAAAATTCATTTAAGACTAGTTCATTTATGTCATATCTTATTTCTTCGGAAAATATTTCATTCTTTCTACAGGAATTTGCGCAAAATACTTTCCAGGTAAACTGAACGCAAGAGAAATGTCAAAAACATTAAATGTCTAGATTTGGAGATTACTAGCAATTTCAGAAATTTCGGAATCTTGTCTTATAATGAAATGCTTTATCTTATAATCAATGACAACTGTTTGTGGGTCTCAACCGAATGTTCTTTCTGAAAATTTTCTGCTTGTTTTGTCTTTATAAGGAGCTATTTTATAGAGGACTATTATATTAGCAAATCGGACTTATTTCATTATTTTAATGATCTATCGAAAGTTGTTTTCTGTAATCCAAAGCATTTCAGCTTTACTTGAGTAGCAGTCATTGGGATAAAATGAATCTAAAAAATGGATGCGACCCTCGAAGATTAAGCATAAATGTTGCCTTTTTCCGGCAATCTAAACCTTGCAGGTTTAGATTGCCGGAAAAAGAGGAAATAATCTAGAAATTTGCTTCCCTATTATTTATTTATCATATAATTTATCATATATCATATTATTTATCATATAATCAATTGGACGATTGGAGTATCTTCTGGTGAATTACAAATGTATTGACTAATATAATAATAGCATGTTTTGGGAAGATTTCATCATTTAGTACTGGAAGTTTAGAAATTATAGAAATCCGTTGAGTAATGGTTGCAGCCTGACGTCTTTTCCCTAAACTTTTCCATTATTATGGAGAATATTACGAGCTTGTTTGAGTGGTGACTTTAGTCCTAATTTGCACTTTTTTTTTCAAGGTTCCGATGAAGATGATAAGGGAGGAAACCTATCCACAGTGTTTATAAAGAAAGTTCTGTTCATATTATCGGGGTGTGAATTTGTAAAACAAAAGGACCGATGTTTAAAATTCCTTTTTCCATTTCTCATGATTCATATAACACGACCTTAGATGCCTATTCAACTACTTCTGTAAAAGCAAGAGAGAAAAGATTCATCTATGATTAACTGTGTTTTATTGATTAAGCAAATACAGAAAAAGTTAGTTGTTATGAAATTACTGAAGTAGTCAACTTTTGTTGTCACCAATAGACCGAATTATTACAGTTCTCGGAAATGTCATTTATGTAAACTTCATTCAGAAAATTGGGTTTGAAAACCATTCCATAATTGCTAAAATCATTTTCAGATTTAGGTAGTTTAGTGACCATCTATCATAGACACAACAGTTCTCTGCCTATCCCTTATCTACAACCAATAATTCACATGAGGTGCTCACGTTTTTGATTATTGCTTAACAACCGTGTGATAACTGTGTGAAGATGTACTATAAAAAATGGTGTGGTTACTGTAGAAGGCTATAAGTCAGAAGGTTTTGTAAAAAATGATTTGAATCGAGGAATTTTTAGTCAGTTTGTTTGATCAGTTACAAGCTTTTTGCTATAACGTGTGAGTTTTATTCAAATTGCAATGCAGTTTTTAAATGTATGGAAAGAAAGTTACTAATTTTTTTCTCAGACTTTCAATGAGTCCTCGACCATATTGTATTTTCTTATTCAAATGGACAATTTTTATTTACAAATTTCAAAAAGTCACGAAGAACTTTGTCAGTTCTTTCTTCTTCAAACACTTTGTTATAATACTTTGGACAATTTTTGAAGCAAACGAAACTAGTTATTTTTAATTGAATTTTATAATATGTGAAGTAGGGGAGGGGGGGAGGGGGAAGGGGTTAGGGTGGGGTGGGTTGAATTCTAAGAGATGACAATCAATTCAGTGCTTATTTCCAGCCTTACTTCGAGAAACATGAAATAAGGCCGGATGATTTGAAAATCATTACGTTCAGTAGCACCGAGTGTTATAAAAACAACAATGTAAATGTTTATCTTCAATTCAATGCAGAACACCATCTGTCATATATCGTTTAAATTGAATAAGAAAAGTTTTTTCTTCATTTTGAATGATTTAATCATCTTTTTACATCCACTTGTACTTCGTTTCCAATAAAGAAGTATTTTATTTAAGGAAGCCATACGATTATTGCTATTAGCTATCATAAGGCAATCATATGCTTCTGATAAACTGTTGTTTACCTGCAAATATTAAGTGGTCTTTTCGAAATATTCCATCACTGTTCAGATATTCACAGTCACTAAAATGTCTTTTAATTACAATCTTTCAGTTATCCACAATCTCAAAAATTATAAATTATCATGAAAGCTCAAGTAGAGGAAGTTTCATTTTTCAACTTGACAGAATATCGTCAAATCAATACACTGCAAAGAGATTTGAAGAAAATTTAGAATTATTAAGAACTTTCCCACCCTTTTTAGTGTGCGATGTAATAAATTTTTTGTTGGAGCATTCACATTAACAATAAGCACACCTGAAAGTTTTCCCTCGTATCAGATTTCAATTTTTTGTTGCTCATTGAGTCAAAAGTTTTCAGTTGCTTTCATAGGCTTAATATTGAAAGTGAATTAAATTTACAACATCAATTTAACTAAATTTATTTTCTTTATTTTGTAATTAGCATGTTTTCTCGCGTTACTTTACCCAGAAAGAAGTTTGAGTTTTGAAATATTCTATGAAGGCAAATTTTGCAGTATACCAGCTCCAACCCTAAGTTCATGAAAACAAAACAGTAAAATATTTTCAATTATCCGGCGTAGCTTGCAAATACATGGATACTGAAGCTAATGTTGAATTATGCGCAAATCTGTCATATGAAAGAAAAAATGATACTGGGTTTCAAAATTGAAAAAAAAAAAACCATTTTCTTTGAGTGTCCTGTTTAATTTTGCGACTGTTTTGATTGTTCGTGTTGGTGGACAGATAATATTAAGGCAAGCATCAATAAATATCGCATTATAGTCTTCCTCACCTTTACAAACTATTTGTATTGATTTCTTTAAATTCTATCCGAATATTTTAGATAATTATGAAACCATTATTTCATAAATGAGGGTTTAATGTAAATTTATTATTAAATTTGAGATTTTCAGCTAACAATGTCAAATACTTGCCTATACCTATGAAAAAATTGAAACTCTTTTAAGTTCAGTTTAGATTCTTGAGTAAATTTATTGAATAAATCGATAGAAGAATAGTTCTTACTAACTTTGTATGGTATGATATTTATGTGTTCATTTCTATATAATATAATATTCAGATACTCATTTCTCAAATTCAATATAGTGTTCCTGTTTCTGTTCCTAATCATTACCAATATGTGAGAGAGAATTTTAATAGATTCGAATGCACAATACAACATTTTGAATTGAGAAATGAGACTCATGTAACTATAGTATTCTAGTCATATAGACTAGAACTGGTGTAATCTGTTAATTTACTCTTGAAAAATCAAAATTTGGCTCATAAGCATCGTGATTTTATGGTTACAATGATTAGTTAGGCAATTAATAAATTATTGAGAAAAGAACTCTGCCGATCAAACATGTTTCAGAAAAATGCAAAAAATGAGGCTGATATTTCTTATTTAGAAATTTTTTGACACTAAATGGCTGAAAAGAGAACACACAAAACGGATGTACAATGAAATAGAACTTATCAGTGTTATCAATTACTTATGCTATGAAGGGTCACAGTTTCTCAAAAGCCATAATATCAAATCACTAACGCAAATCGGAAATAGTGACATGATTCCAAGTTGGATTTCCTAACCATACTTTATTCAGATAATCATCCTTTTCAACAGTAATGAGCTCATCGACTTCCACCTACGGTAAAGAATTGTTTCTTCCTATTTCCTGTCTTTGTCAAAGTCAAATATTAAACAAAGAATGTATTAAGGCAAAAAAAGTATGTGACCTGATCTTTTTAGACTGTCATAGTGATATGAACTTTTTGTTAAGAAAAGAATACCACTTTCCTGATACGATTTGAAGAATGAAGCAGTGTTTTCTTACTCGAAAAAAACGATAATGAATATAATTGGCAATTGAACGTGCTCCAAGTCCCATAAGCAATACCTGACCGTACTCAACACCGCCATCTACTTTACGTAATGATCCAGTCAAGAATGGAGCTGTTAGCATTATTTGTTGATAATCAGTTGGTAAAAACGCCTTTGCACAACAATGATTAAACCATGGTAGCCATGATTCCCACCCTAAATTTATGCGTTTTCCAATAATTTTCACAAATGATATTGATTTTCTTTAGTGAAATTTTCTCCGAAAATTTGCATACAACTAAATACTCATATTGATTTCCCAATTAGCAATGAAATTGGTCAAGATTTAAGTTTATTTATGGACTGATGTGTTGTGTTCATGCATTTCTTTGCACCTCACAGTACAAATTAGAATATGTGCATTCAAATTTAAATCCTTTTCATTCTTAAAAAGTTTTAATATTTATATACAATGAAAAACCTGTAACTGTTTGCAGGATTACTTGAGCAATAATAAAATCAGGAAATTTTTCCGGTGCAAGAGTACGAAGCATAAAATTTCTAAGAGTAACAAATTTACTTTTAAGAACAAATTTTTAAAAACAAATTTATATTGTCTATTAGTTTTTAAGCATTATTAATTATTTTCTTTTAAAACGACATATATATCAAACTTACTGTCCTCTATCAACAAAAATTTCATCTTTGACCACCAAGCAGAACAAGAACTCTTTGAGGCAAATCTTTTCGCTCATTATTATTTGTTTTTGTCGAGTTTTTTTTTTAACTTGTGCTACTATTAACAGTACCTCAAATTATGCATTTCTTTTTCGTTTTTCAAACAATTACTGTGTAAATATCAACCTCTAATTTAATATTCTTATAACAGAATAGAATTTGGCAGTAAAAATTTATATAACAAATCAGATCAAAATTTGTTAATCACTCGATTTTGTAAGAAACATGAAGTTATTAGACCAAAGAATTTTTTATCAAACATGCTATCAATCAAAAATTTCGGGATATTTTACAAAAAAGTGTTCAAACAACGTTTTGCACTGCAATATTGTCCTTGAAAAGATGATTTGGGAATTCAGGGGAGACAGAACTATCTTTCTGTTGTGTGGTGAAGGACAAACAAGAAAAGGTCAACACTGTGAGAGAAAATCTGATTCCATCAGTGGACAACTTATTTATTAGTAGAAGCTTGGCATTTTTAAATTTTGAAATTTTCATAAACTCTGGTCAGACCTCAAAATATTCCTGATATTGATGAAACAGATTCACTGCCCTAGTAAAATATATCAAACTGCTGAAATGCTTGGAATCTAACACAGTCAGAGTTCTTTTGATCATATTTAAACACAAAAAATAATTTGTTCGTCGATAACATTCACTTGCGCGACAAATTAATTCCAGAACGAAGTAAGTAGTAGAGATGATGGAATGATCGGCGTGGAAAAAGGAAAAACTAACTTTAAAGTGAATGAGAGAAAAGTTTCCAGAATAAATACTTATATATCGAATAAAAGCATTCCTTTTTAATCATTATATTTGAAAGGCTGAATACGAACCAAGATAAAAAATATAATCAGAAGTGCTCCTTTCAGATAACTTTTAACTGAACTAGTAAGAAATACTGTCATTAATCCTCCACATACTTGCCTTGAGAGCATTTTCAAAACTTAACAAATCACAGCAGTGGATTTTCCAATGGTGAATATCCCACATATATAAAAATTATATTTTTATGTAAATTTTTCACACAAATTCTTACTGCAATACTTTTTGATTGCTTTCAAATGTTTTTTTTTCTCCTTTACTGAAATTACGCAAAATATATCGAAAAAAAAAACAAGTACATTAAGCAGGACAAGTCTTTAGCTTTGATCCAATAAAAATAAGCACACTTATTAAATTTAATTTATCTGTTGATCAACTTTTTCGCAGTATTTTCAACGTCGCTGATGAATTAACTGATATATGTTTTACAAAGCACTTATAAGATGACGAGGTTTTCGCAATCAAATTCATTAGTGTTCTCCGAATAAAATATTAAATTAGAGTAAACTGAAAATTATTGGTAATCTGTTTTTTATCAGTGTGATTAAAGATAACTTTGGAGCATGCGACAGTTCATTTTGCATGATGCTGGACGATAAACTGATGACTTTCCGAGAGCTGTAACTGAAAATTTTATTCATAAGCAATAAATACTAATAAGATTCTATTTGCAAAGCTACAAGATTTCTAATCTGATTTGTTAAGTGATTTCATTTTGTATCATCGATTCTAATTTTATGTACAATTTTTATTCTTCTGCTCAGACAAAAAAAACAATTTGTTTGGAACTATCACAATTTCAAAAGATGTTAAAACAAAATTTTTTAAAAAATATCAAAGAAAGGGATAAGCTGAAGAAATCTGAATAAGCTCAAAAACATAAAGGAGTGAAAGAATCATGCAATAAAGGCAGTGGAGATAGCTTAAAATCTGCGAGTTTGATTTTCTCTCGCAGCTTTATAAACTACCTCAGCAGCCTCATTGCAATTGGAAAATTGGACTGTAATTTATGATAAGGTTGGCTCAAAAAGCTATTTTACATATTTCATTTATCTTTATCTTGATACAACAATACAATAACATTTCAACTTTATTTTACAAATAACATCCGCCTTTTCTAGAGTCTGGAAACTTTGCCGAGGCTAATGTTCTGTCACATGCATTCCATACATTTTTTCATACTGTAAAATGGCAGCGGTTGCTTACGGTACTACGAAGATACGTAAATCCTATGAATATATATGAATATTTATTAAGAATATGATGTTTGATTGTATGAAGATAAGACAGTTTGTTGTGTAAGTTACAGTTAATTTAACTCATTTAATAAGGCTGATTCTGGCAACTTTTGGATTCTAATGAAACAGGATCAGGAAAGATCAAAAAGGATATTCATTATTATCTATAATTAGCATTATTAAGAAGGTTGAATTAATGCGATGTTAAGTAACTTTAGTTTTCTAATCTGTCTTATCATAGTAAGAATTTTGTTGTTATTTTGGAAAATAAAAATAAAAAAGTAGTGAAATGAGTAAAATGATAAATAATGCGACGTAGTATAAGTATTGAACCAATGAGTGGAAAGGAGGTTATCTCTATACATTCAGGGCGTGGTTTTGGGAGTTTTCAAGCATAATCTTTTCAAATAACTACGGTAATTCTAACGTCCAGTAATTTATTCACATCTTCATTTAAAGGTTTGAATTGGCAGAAATTGGAGGAGCAAGCAATCATTTACTAATTGACTAACAATTTTACTGCATTCTTCCTTTGCTACATAACCGTCTTGATAAATATTTATTTAATGAATTGCCCACAACATTGTTCTATCTCCTCTTCTTTTGCTTAACAATACCTATATTTATGATACTAAAGCTCAAACTTTACACAAAATTGCCAGAAAATGGACTTCAATTTTTCAGTAATGTTCTTAACAAGATTATAGTATATTTGATGTCCAATTGACATGTTTAATTGAATTAGTGTTCAAATAAGAATTGCATTCGCACAATAATCTTGTTTCCCTCGACAACATTTTAATTTCGGTATTTAAAAAAAAAAGTTGACTGTTAGGGCAATGATCTATTCTACTTATGTTTAAGTTCACTAATTTCTTTATTTTTTCCATCCTTTAAAAATTTGGTGATATGCAACACAAATCAAATATGTTATTGAATACGCTCACTAAAGAAATTGATGTATAAGAAAATCAAAAAAAGACAATAAACCAAAAGAACACTCGAACTCTACGCATTGTGTATCCAGCTTAGAGAATTTCGAACTGATTTTAGAAAATATAAAAGGCAAGAAAATATGAGAGAACCATTTGCTTTCCACAAATAACCAAAAAATTTATGTTTAATTTCTAGCAATGACTAGTCTTATAATGAAGAATTTCTTGAATAAAAGATTATTATAAACATAAAACTTGATGTGTAAAAAATTTTTTTTAGGTTGAGTCAAATTACATCGATTATGCTAATTTTCTTACACGAAAAAAATAATGCTGATCGTCATTTATACTTGGAGAATGGAAGCCAATGTTTCTCTGATAGCTAAATTTCACAGCAATAAACCATTATTGAATAGCTTCCTTATTTACACATGTTAATTTATGAACATTTTTAGTTATTACATAAATTATATTTATAACATCTATGAATTTTGTAAAATTTTTTGCATTACAAAAGGTATAGAGAAAGCCTGAAAATATTACAGTATATTTATTCCACGTAACCTTTGCAGGCTAATGATTTTTGATTTGTTGTATACGAATGATAACAAAGGAAAAAAATCTTACTATCATTTAATGACAGTATAATAGTTGCTTATAAAGGAAAAAAATGAGACAAAGAGAAAACAAAGTTCAATTGGTAGATGCAATCCTGAGTCCAGACAAAGAGAAAACAAAGTTCAATTGGTAGATGCAATCCTGAGTCCACCTATTCTCACTGAAATGATGGGACTTTCCTTATGTCAAATCAAGGGGACACATGACGACACTTAACGACATTGAAAAAATATTACGATCACATAGGAGCTTTCAAATAAAATTAAACAATGAAATGAAATAGATTATTTATGCTATTCTTGTTAGATATCGCCCCGCTAAAGTTCAAGCTAGGCTGATCAAAAGATCTAACATAAATAACCCATATAATTTGATAAATATAACTTCAGCAGTAACTGTAACGGAACTGTATTAATTCAGTGTTTGTCAGTTGAATTCCAATTATGTACAAAATGTCTCAACTCAGCATTAAGTTCGAATTCGACGTAGTTTAGATTGGTTTTTGTTCCATTTATTCTATTGTATGTTTTCTTTCATGATAATTGCAATAGTGACTAGTATAAATCCACATAATTTCTGGAAAAGAAATTAAATGAAAAAGTATAGCAAATAAACGGATTGGATTTTTTTGTAATCTTCAGTGTATAAAAGTCTAAAATTCTTTACTTTTGATTTCTTGGTAACCATATCTGTCCTTTCCAAAATTCTGTAAAAAAGGTTAGTTTGAGAAACAATTTCTTTTTGTCAACAAAAATGGTAAAAGCAAATAAAATGTATTAGCAGAGGGAAAACAAAGCCGCATGAAAACAATACACCTTTGGTTATTCATTGTTACTTTTTTCTCGATGGCATTAGCAATGAACAAAATTAGATAATATATGGATATTTTGAAATCACTCTGCTACCAAGCCTTTTGATCTTAAATGCCAAGTACAATTTTAAGTTTTCAACTAGTGGATCATCATAAAGAGTTAGAAAACTGGACGTAATTATTAGACTTTAAAACTGGACTGAACTAATTAACTGAATAAACTGAAGCTGTCACGATTGTCCTTCTTTCTTATGTCTAAATTTTAATTTTATATCGGTCTTTTTCCAATCTTTTATATATTAATTAAATGAGGCCAAAAGAGAGATGGAGGGAGGGAGACAAAGGCAGACTTCGATAAATGATAAATATTATTACTTAAATAATCATGAATCATTTCATTCATTTTTGTTTTATCCATTTACCAACCTCTGGAAGCGAGTCACTTAATAAGACTAATATCTAAGATATGTTTTCTTCGCAATTCTACATCATCTAGTCCTAAGTGTATATATTTTTGCGCTAAGGTGAATTTCTGAGAGTCAAAAAAGAAAATACTTCGATTCTCTTGCTCTCTATTCCAAGAATGAGAG